AGTCGACGATACAATTTAAGCTTTGCTATTTTTACGGTTGCGTATGCAAAATTAGATTTTTAATCAAATTACCTAGAAGTGGGAATTAGTTGGCTCCGGTAGCCTACGACAAGTTGCCGTCGATCTTCCCTTTTCCCTCTCTCTACCCGTACACCCCATTCTCCCCTCCCCCCTACACACACGTAAGCTTGATTGACATATGCGGGCAGTGCAATACATGTGCATGTGTGCGTGTGTGTGTGGAAGTGGGTTCCGATATGGAACACTTAGTAATATATGCTACAAAGGAAACTCTATTTTGGTACATCAAGTTGATTCATTTCGTGCTTACAACCGCATAACAAAATCATTTTTAATTTATTTATACAAACGCAGCAGAGCTGATTTGCTACAACTACACTGCCTTACCCCGCCTGCCCTGCCCTGCCCCTCACGACAAACAAACGAAGCTCAATTAATCAAAAATCAATACACTACTAATCGAAGCGTTGGGCTAAAACTCAAAACTTGCAACTAAAGTAGATTTTATTATAAGAGCTAAAAAAAATTGTATATGCCCACATATATTTAGCCCACCAAACATATTGGATTGTGTATTCAACGTGCTGCGGAATTGAGAGAATCTAACTCGGGCTGATTGCTCCACTTGATTGGTCATCTTTGGCCATCAGCCAGCAGCCTTGCTCCTACCGCCGGGCCTTTGCGAACTCATCAGCATCGCCAGACCGTTTAAAGTAGACGAAGAGATTCCCGCTGCGCGTCTGCCATCAGTGGGGACGATTTACAAATGGCCATAACGAGTAAATATGTCAACTGCAGGTGACCCCAAAAACAACGGCGGCGGCGGCAGCAGCAGAAGCTGCAACTAAGAGCAAATCAAGGTCTAGCAGGCGCATAGGTTTGATTGGTCAATACCCTGTAGTCGAGTTTAGGCAAGTGTATAATGAGGATTTAAGGCAGTTAGTGGCTACCCCATAAATAAATTCCTCATCCTAGACTCCATGCAAGTGCATAACCTAAGCAAGATAGTACAGACTACGCGATACTCTGTTCAGTGTTATTTATGTCCAATATGAGATATATGTTGGAGTAAATTTAAGTTTAGCATAATCGACCACAGAGTTTGTATATTCTTGACGATATTATCAATATCATATTATTATTCAATTTTCACATTTGGAAGCTTCCAATATAGAGAGCTTGGCTTGCTTTAAAATTTCCAGCTTTAACTAGTGAGGAGAACCAATACACTCGATATGTAATGTACTACAGAGTACGACAATACAGTTATTGAACAACAAGTGAAAAAATATCTGAGATGCATACGAGTAGGAGAGACCAATGACGGATCTGTATAGGGACAACCTTGAAAAGCAAAGACTTCAATGTTTTGCGTGAAACAGGCAGACAAGTTGATTTGATATCGAATAGAACTACAATTAGGTATACAGTTCGACTCGGGAACTCTCCTATTCCTCTGCATGCTTACCCTAAATTCGTTATACCCATTTGTGCAAATACAGCCCAGAGTAGCCAACAACAACGAGAGCAGTGAAAAAACGCGTGGAGGGTGCTGGGCTGGTGGGGCATTTGCGGATGGAGTGGAGGGCGGGTGGGGTCGGTGTCTTCCACAGGCCGTTTGGGCGGACAGCGATGCATGTGTTTCCGGTTGCACTCAGCGGCAAACGGTTTCCAGTGTAAATTGGTCAACTAAATTATGCAACATCAGTTGCACCAGTAGTCAAGCTGTCAGCTCAACCACCCCCGCCCCAGCCCTAGCCCAGCCCTATAAAGTGCACAGCATCCAATGCAATAGCAACAGCAACAGCTGAGTGAAATTTGCATTTTATAAAATTTTAAAGCAACAATCCATGTGTGTGTGTGTGTGTATGTATGTGTGAGTGACTCCGTTTGTTAACTTATTTTCATTCCGACCAAATGGAGCACTAAAAAGTTTTAACCGTAACCTGACCCATTTGTATTAAAATTTTAATTTTTACAAATTTATTTTTGGTTATTTTTTGCCTCTTAAATTCACTTTGGAATCATACTCAAGCAGATATATTTCTATAGAAACTCTTCTATAGTACGATATACAAATAGCATAAGAAATTATCCTATGTCAGCGGTATATAGGACTCCTATGTCAATTAAAAATATTAAATGGATTTTAAAGATTTGAGGAGATCCCCCGAGCCGATATTCGAATCCTATATGTTATGGGAGCGAAATTATTCAATAAGTTGTCTTGAGGGGTAGATTTTGAGCAGCTATCCGAAATATTATAAATAAATCTTTATGTAGAAATTTTTAACCTCTCATCATAAATCCTAATATTTTTTCTTTTTTTTCCAATTGAAAAACCATTATTGATAGTGGTTTCATTCATTACAGAGTTTTCCATTTAAGGCCTCTAAATTTGCACCTAGTACTTTTTGTCAGCAAATTTTTTTAGAATCGGGCTTTCCTAAGAATTCTATATAAGATTCATTCATCCATTTAGCCAAAAGCTTCCACAAAAGTTTCGATTTTTGCAACGCTTGAGAAATGGTCAATCAGTCATATAGACACGGTTAGGTCGAATCAGCTTGTCAATATAATTGTTAATATACATATGTATCTAATATACACATATGTATATATTAGTGATTTGGTTTACTCTTTGATATCAACAGCATACCTTGTATAATCGGGTTGTCCCTTTGTATTATATATTTAATATAAAATATTCGCATAGTATAATACGAATATATTTATAAATTAAATGTAGATTTTTTCGATATTCACTTTACTTAAAATTCTTATCAATCTATTAACAATTGTACGTAATAAACGCCTTGAGCCAGAATCTAGCCAAATTGGAAAGCTGCAGCGTGGGCGTGGGCGTGGGACTTTTGTTGTTCATCTTCAGTTGCTGAATGGCTGCGAGAGGTGGGTGGCTCCGCGGCTGGGCGGCTGAGTGGTGCGCTTTTGGAATGCTTCATAAAGCCAGAAACATATGTTCGTGGTCTTTGTTTGGTGGTCAGCCGTGTGCTGGCCTCTTTAACCGCTGCATGTTTGTCACTTGCGACCACGATGCCCATTTCCGTTGGCCAGTCGCCATTTTTTATCGCTTCTGATTGTTTTTGCTGTAGTTGCTGCTGCTGTTGCTGTCGCTGTTGTTGTCGCTGTTGTTGTTGTTGTTGTTGTTGTTCTTGTTTGCTAGTTACACGGAGTTGTAAAATGTGTGGCAATTGATTGGCCATGGCCAGCGGGCGGAATGGACATAATTTAGCGTGGCAGCGACTACCGAAAAGTGCATTTGCAGATTGCCTCTGTCTGGATGGATGGAACAAATAATGGGAAAACATAATGCAAAAACAGGAAATAAATTATTCTGCCTGCTCTCGATATGTATGTACATCTGTATGTCTCTATATGTATGTAGGTATGTGTGTCTGTATGCATTCCAAGTGGAGTCCCCCAGCCCATCATATCTATGGGCCTGACCCTAAGCTAAAGCCAAAGCAAAAGACAGAAGCAGTCAGTGTAATAATAACAATCAGCAACATTTTCCTTCTGCTGCTGCTTGATGATGATGATGATGATGATAATGATGATCTGCTAAACATGAATCAAAATCTTAATGATTACAGTGGTGAACAAAAATTTGATATGATCGTATGTATGATGAATTTCGAGGATAATATTGAGGCAGCAGTACTCTCTTTGAAATTCACTTTATAACTGCTATTCGGAAAAGAAAATAATAAAATAGAAAATCCTTGGTTATTCAATTAATCAAGTATACAAATTTCAATCTAACAAAATCGTTTTAGTGTAATTTAGCACTTGCTTTCGCCCATAGAAGAGTGTTTCGAATGACTCTAAATCCTTAACACATACATATATCAACAGTTCCGAAGCAGTGAAAGGAATCTTCTTCTTGATGTTATTATAAGCTTTTATAGATGATAGATGATGATTCTCGAACAAGTCTAACCTATGACCAGAAGTGCAGGTATGTATGAATATGTATTTCTGTATGTATGTATATGTATATATGCAAGTATTTTTACCTTTATGTTCACCTCAAAACTGGTTTCTGATTTTCTTCTTTTTCAAATATTCCTACACAAGGGCGAAAAATAAAAGAATGCCACACCAATGCTTACTCAATTAGGCCGGGATAGGAAAATTGAAATAACTGTAACGTGTATGTACATAAGTATGTATAGATTGCATACAAATGCAAAAGTAAATTAAAAATATTTATGTATTTTAATTTTACCTAAATAATACTTTGTTATCTAAGTAGAATTTTTAAAAACACAATCCAACTTGATTTTGTTGAGCAGTGTCATCATGATGATCATTGCTGAATTGTCTGGGCTAATTTTGTTTGATTTTGATCGAATTAGCGTAAAATTGAGCGTTCGGCAACTTTAGGTAGTCCACGGGTCGCGCTCAGTTGGCGAAGGTCCCGGCCAGTCCGGGATCTCGGGAATGGGACGTGCGCTGGTTTGTCAAAGGCGAAGTTCAGATTGCACTGGCCGCGTGCGTTGCATTAAGAGGCGTTGCAGCAGATGATGATTTGCATGGCCATCAACATGTTTGCTGGCTGACGTTGGCAATCCGATCTGGCGCGTAATTGGCCAAGTTATTATGCGCTTTCTGCTTGCTCCTTTGCCAAATTGATTTTGCTTCGTGCCTCATCAGCAGCGACAATTGCCCTGGCCCTGGCAAGTTCATCATGCTGCCGCTGCGCTGCCATTGCTGCTGCACACGTAGCCTCAATGCCTCAGGTTTCGCATCGAAACTTCTTTGGACTTTGCCATTTTAATGCTGAGCCGCTGCTGCTGCTACTGATGTTTTTTGCGGTTTCACACTTTGGTTAAGGTTCCATGCCCTTCGCACTCAGGAGCCAATGGGCAATGGGTCAAACCAGCAGCGCTGCGTCTTGCTAGCCACACTAACGACTGCTGTTCCAGTTGTTTGGTTTAATTTATTAATTTGAAGAGCACAAACAAAAAAAAAAAATTAGGTTGTATAAAACTATTACAAATATGTTGGTTGGGCAGTAGAACTCAACTGCTTACATAGATCATCTTAATCTGGTATCTTATCTACTTAATGTACTTGTCCATAAACTTTTTGTGGAAGTCCGAGCGCAGAGCGTCGTTAACGAAGTGAGTTTTCTTTTCTGGAGCCGAGCGTGCGCAGTTTTTGAAGACAACATCATCGTCCCAACGACGCTTTATTTTCAGATCCCCGCCATTGCCAGAGGTGCGTCCAGCAGCTGATGCCGCTGTGCCGGGCTCATAGTTAATTAGTGGATTGCCCGATAGAATGTTCTCCATGCGAATGCGTTCGTCCTCCTGTTTCTTTTCAGCTTCACGGCGTGCCGCCTCTTGCAAGCGTTCCTGTTTGATCTTCTGCAGCTCGGCTAGCAGGGCCGCATCATCATCGTCCGAATCGCTTTCCGAATCCGAGCTGTCATTGTCCAGTGGCTCGTCTGCATCGAGATTGGCAGCATGTTGTTGCTGCTGCTGATGTAGCTGCTGCTGCGACAGGCTGTCTAATTTGGTACGTTTGCTTGCGCTGCTCCCGCTTGCATTGTTCGCCTCAATAGCCTTGCGCACAATGGAGGGCAGCGCCTTGTTCGAGTTGTTGCCAGAACGTAAATCGCGCTCCCGTTCCTCAAGCTCCTTGCGAAAATCACGATTGCGTATCTCCTCGCTGGTTCCTTGACCAATTTCTCTGCAAGTGTTGAGATAACGTTTACAAAATGTTTATTATGTTAACATATTTATGTGGTAAACGTTGAAATGTATGCATATATCAATGTGTGTACATATGTATATGCGTACCTGTATTTAAGTTTGGTATGCCCAGGCAAATCGCGACTCGAATACTGTTTGCTAAGTGCGCTTAAATCTTTTTCACCACGTCCAGAGCCACCTCGCGCTGGATCAAATGTTGGGCGCGCTGCTGTAGTCATTTTAAATCTCTAATTTATCCAAAAGAAAACAAACTTTATTTAAAACAATTCTAATTCAGTGACTACTATTAATTTGTTCCTATTTTGATGCGTATCAGCTGCGTTAGTGTTGAGTTTCGATAACTAATTTCTATCGATGGGCTGAGTAGCCAGACGTGATTTCCAGTTAATCGTTAGATTTGCCACCAACATAAATAGACTGCTTAATTTATTAGTATTATAATAACGGACATAAAATATGTTGTAAAATGTAATAGTGTTGTTGGTGAAATCTACAACGTCTTCTGGTGGAAAGCAATACAAATAATCGAATCCAAAACTATCGATAGCTAACAATATGGCAGTTCCCTTGATTCAGCGTTGCCAGAAGCTTATGTGAAACCACGCGAAATTTCACAAAACAAGTAAACATGCCACTGGAGCCCCAGCGGTATAAATACTATAAAACGCAGTTGGGCGATTCTTTGCAGAGCGCCACAGCTCTTATTCGTCATTATTACACCACATTGTGCTCTCAAACATCACAGCTAATTGTCCAAGCAGATCGCATTTGGGAACTGAGTCAACGGCACCGTTTGCTTGCTGGGTAAAGATGCCGCTTGTCTACCTTTGCATACTAATTGACATGAAATTCCCGCAGCATAAAGGAAGCTGCTGCCGCCACCCTACTCTCAGCTTGTCATGACGCATACCAACCCATATACCACTGCATGTTAGTTCTGAACCCTTAATAATGCCAAGGAAAAGCCAAACTGTTGATGTTCATATATTTTCAGAAAGCAACTACAGGAAGCAGTGTTTGCGCTCTCTATTCATGTGACAGACTTCGAACGTGAATACCAAGCTCTGCAATCTGAGCTCAACCAAGCGGACGAGCTGCGTTGCTGTTCACTAGCCAAATGGAACGCTTGGTTAACACAAACATTGAGGGTATTACAAACGCAGGTCAAGTTCTTGGAGTTGGATTCACGTGCACTACTGCCTGGGCTCATCGATACCACAACAGTCAAACAGTTTAAACGCGATCTTGAGGTGACTGCACACTACAAAGCCAGCATTTGTTTGGGCTTGGCCGAAGCCGATCGACGTTCTGAGCTTTTGCCTCCGATTAATGGAAGGACCAGCACCACACAATTTATTTAAACAAAATAAACGTCTAATCTAATATCATACAATCTATCGTCTTCAACAAATCAATTTCTATGCCGATTCGCGCGGTAGTTTCCTGCTCCTTGTCGCGGATCGATGATGGTCACAAGATCACAAAACAAAAACAAAAAAATATAAGCATTGGATTCTTTTTTTAAGCACTGCAATACTTGAAATTTATTCAAAACATTTGTAATTTGGTGTTGTGTGATTCTGTCTGTATGTTGTTTATGGTTTCCATATCATAATTTTTTTCTCATAATAATTTCCTCCAAGAAATTGCCAAAGGCAAAACAACACCTAAAACGAGAATGAAAAATCGATCTTTCTATATTTAAGCGGGTTATTGGGTATCCAGCTTTACTCACATTCCAAACAAATCCCAAGCAAGTTGCACTCTTAGCGTAGACGTCTTGCTTCACGTTCAGATTCGAGCAGCGTCAAGATATCACCCTCACGGACGGGTCCCTTCACGTTACGGATGATTTGACGGTTCTGTTCTCCAAGGAACTCCACTTTGACTTGGGTACACTGGCCCTGGGAGCCGGTGCGGCCAAGAACTTTCATGACGCGAGCCCAAACAACTGGTTTGTCCATGTTTTCTGTGTAATTTCAGCGAGTTTCTTTAGAGAATTCACGTGCGAGTTGCGTTTCAATTGACAGACGCAAACGAAAAGGAAGTTGGCTGCTTCTCGTTTTGACAACGTGAAGGTGGCTGCCGTAAGCCACAGTGTTGCTTTGACAAGATTGGCATTGTACAATTGTCAAATTGTGTATATTCGCATTCTGCTCCTTATTGGGCTACTAATGCAGCTAATAAATATTTTATTCAAATAATACAATTAGTATAATCTCACATTTTGCGATATAAATAAAAAAATACTCAATTTGGACATTTGACAGATTGCCTTTCTTAACAGTACTGCCACTAAACACAGTATTGTCAAAGAGCAAAATAAAGAACAATTTTCAGTTGAAAACTGGGCAAGACAGTTCAACATTAGCATTTATTTGAATTTCAAAGGGCAAGTTTAATTGATAAAAAATAAGCAAAATACATTTAAGTGGGTATTTTCACTGCTTGCCAGCACTTTGTGACGAGCCGTGGCAACTCTAAGCTGTCATTTGACGCGGCACCACGTAGACATTTGACAAGTGAAAGTCGGCACAATTCGTGTTACTTCGGCTGCGCGCATTGTTGCTGGTCCCCCATTCGGTTAGTTTCGCTCATACGCGTCGGCTGCTAGTTGTTCAACGGTGCGATTTCATTGCTGTCTTTATTTTTTTTTCGTACATTCGAAACTCATCAGTGATAGACACAAAATTCAATCAAAATGAAGAACCTAATGTTCTTTCTGCTGCTCGTTTTGCCCACCATCATTTGCACGTTCAATGCCCGTAAGTATTGCATTTAATTGATGTATTTGCCGACAGCAGAAGCAGAGAGGTGGCCGCGGCAGCGGCAGCTACGTGGCATTTGGCTACGGCCAATTGATAAGTTAAGGAAGAGTAGGTACAACTCTTTGTATGCACTTTTTTATGAAATTTGCATATTTCCTCCTAAATTCTAAGTATTGGTGCTACTACTGCTGCTGCTGTGAGCGGGAGAAAACTGTTGAGTTGGCACCGTTGAAACGACTCGGTCTTACTCTCATTCATGTTGTGCGTTCTATATTGCAATGTTGTTGTTCTTTTTGTTGCAGCAAACAAACTTGGTGCCTATGCAGCCGAGGCTGTTGAGGATGATTTAGTGGATGTGGATAGCGAGGAGGGCGCCGTGACAGGCGAGGATGCTGAGGCGGATGATGACGCGGATAGCGGCAGCACCAGCACCTCACCCAATGCGGATACCTATCTGTTGTTCACGAAACCACTGCACACACCTGGCCAGCAGCTGGATCTGCCCGGTGGCAAGCCTGTCGAGTTCCTAATTGGTTTCACCAACAACGGCAAGGAAGAGTTCATCATTGAGTCGGTGGAGGCGTCTTTCCGCTACCCCATGGACTACAACTACTTCATCCAGAACTTCTCCGCAGTGGCGTACAACCGCGAAGTGAAGCCAGGCATCGAGTCAACTGTCTCCTACACATTCATGCCATCCGATCAGTTCGCTGGCCGTCCTTTTGGCCTGAACATTGCTCTGGCCTACCGCGACGCCAACGGCATCCAATACAACGAAGCTGTCTTCAATGAGACTGTGCTGATCTCTGAGGTGGACGAGGGCTTGGACGGCGAGACTTTCTTCCTGTACGTGCTGCTCGCTGGCATCGTGGTCCTGCTGCTGGTCATCGGCCAACAGTACCTGCTCGGCAGTTCCGGCAAGCGCAAGCGTGCCGCCGCCAAGAAGGTCATCGAGACCGGCACTGCTAACGACAGCAACATCGACTACGACTGGGTGCCCCAGGAGACACTCCGTGCGCTACGTAAGTGTCGCATCTAGATATATGCCTTATACAATATGTAGCTTATCATCTGACTATGCTCCCTCCACACAGAGAAATCTCCACCCAAGTCGAAGACGCCAAAAACATCGCCCAAGCCAGGCAAACAGGCCAGTCCCAAGGCAAACCAACAGAGCCCCAAGCAGCGCAAGGTGAAACGCTCCGCGGGCGACGACTAAAGACTGCACAGCCTGCCAAGCTACATCTACACACAACACACACCCACATATACGCATACATTCATAGAAGAACACCCTCAACATCTGCTCGCAGTCTAATATTATGTTTAATACTTTTTTTTGTCGGTCAATCGCAATTGACAATGTAGAGATTGTTAGTGTTTAACTCGCAAAGTACGACGAGGTGACAGCTAAGGGACCGTGCTGATCCAATTTCCAATGATTCTAAAAGTTAGTGAATTGGTTTTTTTTTATTGTAATTTACTTTATCTATTATTTCTTCGATTCGAACTGCCACTGCTCCATAACATACTCTTTATAAAAAAAAAAGGTCCTAACTTTATGCCGCGCCGTATAATTGTCTTCGTTTGTTGAAGATCCCTGGACGCGTGCAAAAACTTTCAATTATCAATTATGCGATAAACGAAATAGGCATTATTATTTTCTTGCGTTAATTGAGAAGTCAATGTTTATTGAACTTTTGTCTGTCTGCATATGGGCAGAGCACAACAAACGTAAAGCGGAGCTTTTCCCAAAAATAAATGAAAAATGTGAGAAGTTATAAATAAATTAAATGTACTTTGAATCTGTTGTTTTATTTGTTACAAAGGAGATAAAAAGCCCTGAGCTCCTAACGGATAATGTTATATTTCTACACGTCGATCACACATAATCAAAAACCCTTTTCCTAAGCACAGTAAAAAAAATAATTCAAAAATCACAAACATATATGTCAATTAAACTGTTTAGTTTGTGTCTGAATAGGCAAGATTAAAATAGTTTAATTCAAATATTTTTCATTTAAGAGTTTGCTAAAAATATTAAATAATGTTACATTGCTGTTATTGAGACCATTTTGAAGTGAGTTAAACAAAACTAAAAATAATATGTAATCTGTACAGATTATATAATAATATCTTTAAAATAAAAAGCCATTCATTAATTTAAATTCCTTGCTTATAAATATCCTTATATTTTACATTTTGTATTTTTTTGGTCGGTTATGTGGAGGAGTTCATTAAGTGTGGAGCGGAAACTGCTGTTAGTTTACATACTGTTATCTGTTAACTCAGACTATTTGGAATTGCAAAAATTACTCGTTCGCAAACAACACTAGCAGATGATACTTTCGATAGATGCGCACAGTACTCGATACTTTCGATAGCAAAACAATAAAGATTTCGAACGATTGACGATGACGAACGTATAAAGAGCAATATTTAAACAAATTAAACTCATCATAAACGAAACGAAGTATACAGTGCAGTGCGTCCGTTGTATCCATAATCGATTACGTGCATTTACGCCACCGGGCGACTCAAAGTCGCGGTCGCCGCCAACATAGACCGTCACGTCGACGTTCTGCAGTCGCCGAGTTGGAGGCCATCTAATATTTGACAGAGGCGTAAAGATGACCGCCTCGGACAAGTATACGTATCAGCGGACTGTGCTCTGCCTAGCGCGCGTACTGGCTGGCATACAGCCCACCCCATGGGACAAGGTCGGTGCAGTCGGGGGTGTTGCTAGCTGTTGACAATGTCTGTTTGATGGAAAGCGAAGGGCGGGTGGGGTGGGGGCGTACTGGCCGCAAATTGGAAATCGAATTTTCGCGCAACTAAAGTTGACCTTGGGCGCAACAGACATGCGTATAGTGATGACGTGCCTCAGAGTCCATAGAAGAGATCTAAAGAACGCGGGGGGAGGGAGGGTGATGATTTATGTTTTTAAGTGTGTCATTATTGACTGACTGCAGCTGTCAATCTCTAATATCTCGTTTGCCACAATAGGTGCAGACCCTGTTTCGCTACTGCCCGCAAGAGAATGCATCTGGCGTGTTTTGCCTGGACTCCAGAGCACAAGATGCAGTCATCGCATTGGGCATTTACTTCCTGGAAGGCGGCTGCCAGCATGAGTCACAGATAGTGCCGTATCTGCTGCGTCTGGCCAAGAGCCTGCCCAAGGCAAGAATACACGATGAACGCCACAGTAAAGTAGAGCGTAAGTGCAACTCAATATTCCCCAAATGATATTTAATCCACTGATGACCATCATACCATGTACAGGTGTGCGGATACCCGCAGCAGAGAAGTTCAGCTTCTGCTTGAACACCCTGCTCTCGGACATAGCAGCCAAATGCCCGGAGCTGCGGGAGGAGATCATACTGAACCAGGTCGAAACACTGGGCACGCTCGCCAACATTGTGAAGCCCAGCAAGGATTCTAGCAACTCCACGCCGTCGCCCTTGGTGCTGTGCAATGCGACGGTTCCGCTGCTCTTTGGCTTGGCTCGCTCGATGGGCCGCTATGCCAGCAACAATCCGCCGTTGCTGTGTCGCATATTTCCACCCGAGCAGCTGCCCACGCAGCGAGTCAGCGCCAGCAGCGCTGGCAGCAGTGGCTCATTCAGCAGCAGCGAACGCCTGGCGAGTACCCAGTTTCGGCCCATCATACCTCGGTCGATGTCGGGCAGCCTGGCCCATAATAGCGCCCCGGGCGATGAGAGTCGCATGCGTTCGGCGGTGAGCAAACAGAAGCCGTCGCTGCAGAGCTATTTCTCGGTGCCCTACGATCCACGCACGCACTTCTTCACGCGCTACGGCTCCAGCTTCAATCAGTTCCCACACATGCGTGTCAACCTGTGCGAATCGCCTGGCAAGAGCGGCCCAAAGCCGCTGTACCGCGTGCCGCCGTTTCCCATACAGCATTTGCAGACCATCTTTGCAGTGTCCAAGAAGCTGCTAACCAAAGATACGCTCGAGTATCTGGATGAGCTGGGCAGCGATATATTCTCGATGCACTTGAAGAATGGCAACTGCTACAAGAGCTTCTCTGAGATGCTGAATCTGGTGCTAGTCACACTGCTGCGCGAGCTGTTGCAGCATCAGATCGACCTGCCCACGCCCTTCACCAAGGACGTGCAGGAGTTCGTCAAGCGGCTGTTCCTCAATGGCCAAACGGAGCTGCAAAACAAGCAGCAGGACCAGGAACGCGAGCGTCGCGAAGAGAACGGCATCGCCGTCGTCAACAAGTACAAGATCAACGTGATGGCCAACGCAGCCTGCGTGGACCTCCTCGTTTGGGCCATACGAGACGAGACGGGTACGTTAGCTAGCTCAGCACTGACTTGTGATTTCTACTGCGATATTTATTATCTAATACTTGGACAGGTGATGAGAGTATTCGTGCGGTTTGTCTGAATTCAATTTGCGCTTAGATCTTCAATCTCTTTTCAATTCTCACAAGACTTAAAACTGAGCAACAATTCTCTATATTTGAAAATCAAAGGCAAATTGGAAACAGGGAGAAGACAGCAGAACTAGAAAAGACACGATAGGCATGCAGCAAAAATGGCTATATATAATGCAATATACATATATTAGTATGGATATATGTTGTATATGAGCAGTCTTAGCTCAATACTTGACACTAAGCATTTCTATGTGAATCTTTGCAACTTTTCTAATTCAGATACAGAGTCTACAATTTTGCTTAATCTAAAGGGTTTGCTCCTTTTACAATTAAGACCTTACAGAAACTATGATCTCTAGGATATTATGGTTTTAAAGATTCAAAATCCTCTGTAGGTTGTAAATCCTTTTCATTTTTATAACTCAGATCCAAAAGAGTTTTATATCTTTGTTACTTTTATAATTGAAATCCTAAAGGTTCTAAAATCTTTAGACTTACATTCAGGAAAGATATCATAGTATGACATATTTTCCCAGATCTACGCTATAAAATCTTAAAGTGTAGCTTCTGTATAGATTGTTTAGCTTGCAAACACTCAAAGCTCAATCGATAGATTAGCCTAAGAATGAATACGATATACGATGTCTTTAAGGATATTTATACAATAAATCTGTAGACACTAGCTCAGTATACAATAGTATATGGTATAGATCAGTGTCTACGCATTGGTTTGTACTGTCTGAAGGTAGGTTATTATATATGTACATTAGTTTCTACTACTAAAAGATGGGCGATTCGATCGAAACAAGGGGAGATATGGAAATGAAAAGATATAACATCCAATAATATTTTTTTTCGCATAGGTCAGACAGCGCATGTTTTATCCATATACTGCAATGATTTCCATTTTAATTATGATTATTTATTTTATTAATTTACTTTATATTATCACMCTGTTAGGGCTATTTATGTGGCTTCGGTGCTCCGAGGATAAATTTGATTTCTTTAGTTGCTTTCTTTTGAGTTCCGATACGGAATATTTTTACAGTTGACGTCGACTATAACGTGCCGTCCTTGCAAAATGGCTTGCATTTTTTATTGAAAAAAGGTCAGGAGCTGTTCCTGTCCCATCCTCCATCTGCCCCATCCGCCACCTTCGCCCCGCCCGCTTCCTCAACAGTTCCAACTAATTTGTTTTCTTTTCATGTTACTTTTTTTTTATTATTTTGTAATCTTTGTGTTCGTGCCCGTCGGCTCTCACGGCATGCACACGAGTATCATATAATTTGAAAGGGATCGCAAGGTGATTCCGGAAAGATCATTTGTTCATTGCATGATGCTGCTCCTCTACTCTCCCACTCGTTGAGGTTGTTCTCGTTGTTTACGTTTATATATTCCGCAATTCCATTGTTTGTTCCTATTTATTTATACCGTTTTCTGCCCATCTGCCTTTCACGCACACCCACAGAGGCGGACAAACTGTGCGGGCGCTTGTCACAGAAGCTGAATCTGGTGCTCAGTCACAAGATCGTCATGGACCACATGCCCCTGTTGATGGTCTGCTTGGAGGGCTTGGGCAAGCTGGCGCAGAAGTTTCCCAACATTGCTGGCACTTCGATATCATATTTGCGCGACTTCCTCGTCGATCCCAGTCCGATACTGGGCAAGCTGCACGCGCACGCCATGCAGACGATGGCGTTGCAGAAGAAGGAGAAGGAGCTGACTCCCTTCAAAATCGTTGTGCAGCATTCCGATTCGCGCTCGATTGTCGACATCTTCGGCGACAATCAGAAGCAGACGGGCACTGGGCGCAGCGGCTACGCGGCATTCGAGGCACTGCGTGATGCTGCCATCGAGAATCTGTCGATTGCTCTGCGAGCAGCCCACACGCTCGACCAGTTCTGTGTTCCCGCTCTGGTGGCAAACGTATCAAATCGCCTCTTCACGGCAGAGAAGCACGAGAGGTAGTATCACTATTGACATACATAAAGAAAGCATTTCCAAGCTAATCTGTTCTGCTTCTTTAGCGAATCGACGCTAGTCAGCCTAAACATCATTGTAATGCTGGGCCATGTGGCTGTGGCGCTTAAGGACACCTCGAAGACCACACAGAACATACTGCAGTTCTTCATACAGCGCTTCTGCAAGGTGCCGTCGGAGCAGAATGCGCTGATCGTCGATCAGCTGGGCTGCATGATCATATCGCAGTGCGAGACGCACATCTTCGATGAGATCATGAAGATGTTCTCGCGCGTCACGGTGCAGTCGGCGTCGCAAGCATACACCTCCGACCCGGAGCACCGTAAGCAGTACCACCATGTCTCCGATGCTGTGGTCAACGCGCTGGGCAACATTGCGGCCAACATACAGGGCGACTCAGAGATGCTGGAGCTGCTGGGCAAGCTGCTGGAGCTATTTGTCCAGATTGGACTCGACGGCGAGCGCTCGTACGACAATACGCCGGGTGCCCAGAAGGCGAGCTCGCGTGCCGGCAATCTGGGCATGCTTATACCGGTCATCGCTGTACTCATGCGCCGTCTGCCACCCATTAAGAATCCGCGCCAACGCCTGCATAAGCTCTTCAGAGACTTCTGGGCCTACTGCGTGGTCATGGGCTTCACAAACGCTCGTCTCTGGCCAGCTGATTGGTATCAGGGCGTGCAGCAGATCGCTGCCAAGTCGCCGCTGCTCATTTCCCAGACGGCCCACAAATCGGATATGCGCGAGCTCAACTATACGCTGGCCATCAAGAGCGACTCGGTCAACGAGCTGCGCAGCCAGATCCTGATGCTGCTGGAGAACTCCTCCGACAATGTGGCTGCTTCCATAAACAAGCTTAGCTTTGCCCAGTGCACGTACCTGCTCAGCGTCTATTGGCTGGAGATGCTGCGCGTTGAGAACGCGGACGAACCCAGTCTGGAGCCCATCCTGAGCTACCTCTGCGACACGGCGCTGCAAAAGGACAAAACCGGCATCTGGCAGTGCGTCAAGTGGTAAGGCGATAAAAAACAACTACCCTACAATTATACGGAGTCGGCTTGCATTTGGAGTATGAGAGATTAGATTCTAGCTTGCTAGTCGATCTCCTAATGCCCTCTTTGAGAAACATTGCTTTGGCTAAATGGGATTTTAAATTAGCAATCAATTATTCTAATTGTCTAAAGATTAATCAATTTGTACCTTGCTACTTTCTGATCTTTCTGGTAAGGTCTAGTAGAGTCCACTCCAAACTATACTTCAAGATTGTTAAGGTCTTATCATAATTTAAGTTGCTCTAACGACTTTTTATAAGTTGAAGCCATTTAGAATGAAAGTACGAGTACAAGAACAGGCTAGACATATTCTTGATGTGAACGATAAGATGATTTATATCGGACATCTGTCTTTCCGTCCTATGATCTGCCTAATCCAAATGAAGAGCTCACATGAAAGCTTAACGAGCTACAACATCTGATTTTTAGATACGTGCTCTACAGGGTGAATACTAAATTTTTGAATGTTTTAGATTCTTAATGCTTAGCCTTATTCTGTCTGTCTGCGATTGCCGCATTGCAACGTAGTGAGTGGGCGTATTAAGTAAACCCTAGCAGTTTATCAGGCTAGGGTATTCAAAAGGGTATATTCCAAATTTCTCTGACTTGAATACTGGTAATAGGGTTTGCATTCATGTGAACACTCGGACTGACGGACTATCCGCCAAGACGGACTCTGCACAAACCAATATGCTCATTTTGCTCTCGTGAATGAGTATGAAAGGCAAGTGTCTTATCAAAGTTAGACTAAATGTAACAATATTACTAGCTTCCTTATATGGCCTTGTATATACATGTGCAGGGTGCATCTCCAAGTCAGTCACTCCCGATCTGATTGCTACTCTAAAAATTTCGTGAGTAATGTAAATAATTCCCGTTTGTAGTGTGGCGGACCAGGTCTTCGAGAAGTTCCGTAATGTGCTGTACGCTCACGACGAGATCAGGGAGAAGGTGCTGGAGTCGCAGGCCACGCTGCTGCTGGTCTACTTCAATCACATACACAAGCAGATCCAGCTGGTGGCGGATCAGTATCTCTCGCAGCTGGTGGATCGCTTTCCACATCTGCTGTGGAATCGCCGCGTGCTGTGGTGCATGCTGGACATCTTGCAGCTGTTGGCCTACTCGCTGTCACTGGACCCCAACGAGGAGACGCCGACGTTGCGGGTCGTTTCGACGCCGTACACGCTGCAGCTGATGGACTCGCTGCCGGCGCGGGAGCTGCGGCTGAAGGACTTCGCGGACCGTTGTCAGGGCATTGTGAACGAGGCGATGAAGTGGGCGCCGCGCTCCACGCGCTCCCATCTGCAGGAGTATCCCAACCAGATACCCACGCCTGTGCTAGCCCACCACAGTGGCCTGGCACTGGCATTTGACTCGGTGGTGAACAGCAGCACTCTGCACCCGGGCAATACGCTGAGCACGCTCAGCAAGCGGCCCAGCTGCGTCAACTCGGACACACCGCGCTTTGTGTCCGTGCTCTGCCTACGCAGCAAGTACGCCGGCGAAATCAGCGGCCTGCTCTCCGTGCTGAGCGAGCAGGACAAGGTGGGGCTGGCCGACCGACTGGTCAGCGACGTGTGGGGCGCCTGCGCCGAGAAGAGCGATGCCAGGCATCGCGGCGCGCTGTGGCGGGCCACCGCCTACCTCATCATATGTGCAGAGGTCGATCGCAAGCTGCTGCACGCGGTGGCCAGCTCGCAGCTGGAGCTCTTCACGGAGTCCGCCATGGAGACGGCCGTCGAGTGCTGGCAGTGGGTGCTGACGGCACGGCAGGATCTGGAGCTGTGCTTCATACAGGAAATGGTGAGCGCCTGGCAGACGACTTTCGAGAAGCGCTTGGGCCTGTTCGCCTGGGAGGTGGAGATCACCCATCCGCTGGCCGCCTACGAGGGCTGCAAGCTGGTGAGCAAGCCCATCTTGATAGCGCCGCACCTGATCTGGCTGCAGCTGCTCTCCGAGATGGTGGACACGGCCAAGTACTGCAATCGCGACAAGGTGGAGATGTTCTGCCTGCTGCTGCATCGCTGCCTGCCCATACTGAAGAACAGCCGGCAGAATCGGCAAGTGGCTACCGTCGGCTGCCGGTTCAAGCTGCTGCAGTGCGGCCTCTCCCTGCTCCAAGGCAATACGATACCCAAGTCATTGGCGCGCAACATCTTGCGCGAGCGCATCTATTCCAACGCCCTCGACTACTTCTGCGGCCCGCCCACGTGCCCCAACCAGAGCCGGGAGCAGCTGCTGGAGGACATCCTGATCTTGCTCAAGTTCTGGCAGACGATGCGCAGCGAGAAGAAGCATCTGGTTACCTCGGAGGTGGGCGACTATGACATTACCAGCACCTCGGTCAGCTCCACCCAGATGCTAGCCGTGCGCAACAACCCGGAGACCGCATCACTTATCAGCGGCGGCGCCGACTACGCGCGCTCCATGAGTGCCACGGGCAATACGGGTGGATGGTACAACACCATTCCGCACTCGACGTCGACCTTGTCGAAGCGCTCGAATCGCTCGAAACGGCTGCAGTATCAGAAGGACTCCTACGACAAGGACTACATGAAGAAGCGCAATCTAATACTCGAGCTGCTGGCCGTCGAACTGGAGTTTCTGATCACCTGGTATAATCCGAACAGTCTAACCGATCTGATAGTGCCAGGTAAATACTACATTTATTATTATGGGCATTATGCATATTCCCTCCTCTCTCTCTCTCTTTCTCTCTAATGTACTCAAACTATGTACCATGAAATATTGCTCTTTCTGTGTATGTTTTGTCTCTTTCGCTCTTCATTTTGTGCGCCATCTCTTTTCATACCATATTCGTCAATTCAACTGCTTTATTTCTTTTCGCTTTTATATATAAATACAAACCTCTCATCTCCTTGAGATGATTAGGAAATATATGCGTACTTCCTCCTTTCCTTCCCATGGCATTCGTAAATGTTGCACTGACTGCAGCTACTACAACAACAAGTTCTCCTGCCAGACCTATTTGAAATATGTTTTAATCTTGAAATCCATCTTTATCTCATTTACCTCTTACTATTCATTCGCAGGCGAGGAACAGATCACGGAATGGCGGAATCGCCCATACAAGCCAAATGTCTGGCGGGACTATGCGCGCTTGGCTTGGTGCTACAATCCAGCTCTGGCCGTGTTTTTGCCGCAGCGCATCAAGAACGCGGAGACCATTGACGAGGAGGTGTCGCGGTTGGTCTGCTCCGACCCGATCGCCGTGTGCCACATACCCGAGGCGCTCAAGTATCTGTGCACCACCAAGAACCTGCTCCAGGAGAGTCCCGACCTGGTCTACATACTGTCCTGGTCGCCGGTGACGCCCATACAAGCGCTGTCCTACTTCTCGCGGCAGTATCCGTCGCATCCGCTGACTGCCCAGTATGCGGTGAAGACGTTGAGCTCATATCCAGCCGAATCGGTGCTTCCATATATACCGCAGCTGGTGCAGGCGCTGCGCCACGACACGATGGGCTATGTGGTTGAGTTCATCAAGAACATATCGAAGCGCTCGCAGATTGTGGCCCATCAGCTGATTTGGAACATGCAGACGAACATGTACATGGACGAGGATCAGCAGCATCGCGATCCCAACTTGTACGAGGCACTGGATATGCTCTCGCAGAACATCATTGCCTCCTTCTCGGGCGCCGCGAAGCGCTTCTATGAGCGCGAATTCGATTTCTTTGGCAAAATTACGGCCGTCTCCGGGGAGATTCGCTCTTATCCCAAGGGCAGCGAGCGGAAGAACGCATGCCTGGCGGCACTCAGTCGGATCAAGGTGCAATCTGGCTGCTATTTGCCATCCAATCCGGAGGCGATGGTGCTGGACATTGAGTACAGCAGCGGCACGCCCATGCAGAGTGCTGCCAAAGCGCCGTATTTGGCACGTTTCCGCGTCTATCGTTGTGGCATTACCGAGCTAGAGACTCGCGCCATGGAGGTGTCCAATAATCCGGTGAGTCATTGTATCACTATCTCGCTCTCTTTCATTCTTGCTTGCTTGCCCTTGCCTACCGCTCACACTCACTTGATTTTGTACTCTCTGTCTTATGCATGCGCAGAACTCGCAGGAGGATGCCCAGATGAAGCTCGGCGTGGAATCGTGGCAGGCGGCCATCTTCAAAGTGGGCGACGACGTGCGCCAGGACATGCTGGCCCTGCAGGTGATCACCATATTCAAGAACATCTTTCAGCAAGTGGGCCTGGATCTATTCCTGTTCCCATATCGCGTTGTGGCCACAGCACCAGGCGTAAGTCGAGAAGGAGAGAGAGAGAGAGAGGCAGAGATTGATATTTATATTTATATTTGCAGTGCGGCGTCATAGAGTGCGTGCCCAATGCGAAGTCGCGCGATCAGCTGGGCAGGCAAACCGACTCCGGTCTATCCGAGTACTTCCAACATCAGTATGGCGATGAGAGCTCCAAAGAGTTTCAGGCAGCGCGAGCCAACTTCGTGAAGTCCATGGCTGCTTATTCACTAGTTGGCTATCTGCTGCAGATCAAGGATCGTCATAATGGCAACATCATGATCGACAAGGATGGTCACATCATCCACATAGGTAAATATATATAGAAATGTTTTCTTTGCCTCTATATTAATGTAATTCTTGCCATAGATTTCGGCTTCATGTTTGAGTCGTCGCCCGGCGGCAACATTGGCTTTGAGCCTGACATGAAGCTGACTGACGAGATGGTCATGATCATGGGTGGCAAAATGGAGGCGCCGGCCTTTAAGTGGTTCTGTGAGCTGTGCGTGCAGGCCTTCCTGGCGGTGCGGCCCTATCAGGATGCGATCGTGTCGCTGGTCTCGCTAATGCTCGACACTGGGCTGCCTTGCTTCCGCGGCCAGACGATCAATCTGCTGAAGCAACGCTTCGTGGCCACCAAAAACAACAAGGAGGCGGCCGCCCACATGTTGGCTGTCATACGTAACTCGTATCAGAACTTCCGTACGCGTACCTACGATATGATCCAGTACTATCAGAATCAGATACCCTATTAGTGGATTGGTGGGACGAATTTCGGATTTTGGGATTTGGTATTTTTGGGACTTATGTGGGATTTCATGTTAGCCAAATGCTGTATTATTATAATAATATTATTGTTTTTTATGTATACTATTATTATATTTTATGTCCTTTGCGTTTCTGTTTTGTATTTAATAGCTGTTAAATTTTTCGAAGGTTTTACGATTCATACTAAATCAATTATAGGGCAATATGTTGTACAATGTATTTGTTACCTACATATATACGTATACAAACAAACATACATATATACTACTTATATACGATACTAACGATAAAACACTGGCCCCATATTTGCGAGTTGGCCAATATATTTCCATATACAGAACATACTTATTGAACTACTTGTAATCATAACCACTGTGTAATTGTAATATCCACATACATTTTCTCCACGTTTCGGAGAAAAGAAAAAAAAAAAAAATTATTCAAATTGCGTTTAAAAATTTTTGTTCTGTGTAATTTGAATCTCGCGCTTCGATTGAGGTCTGTTTATGTAGCTTTACAGAGCGACTCACATACTTGGCAGAGGTGTTATCGAATTATGTTAAGGCACAGTTGCTTCGTGTTCAGTGTTGGAAAGCGTTACATCCAAAAGAAGAAGCACACGGGCTGACAGCTAGAAAGAATAGCAGCGAAGAAGCTAAAAGTACGCCTACAATATCGAATAATTATCGTGCAATGTTCTTTTCATTATCATTCGTCCGTTTTGGCACTTCATTCGTCGTTTAGTTGCTTCTCATACACGAACGAACGTGAACGTGGTACGCGCGGCGCATATTATTTTTCGTTTAGTGAAAGTGTAAGTAGTGTTGGCTCGCTGTGGTTGTTGTAGAAGCAGCAGCAGCAGCCCAAGCAGTAGCGACGTTTTGTGCACAATACATACACGGCCGCCATATTAAAATGGCATAAAAAGGTAGTCGATAAAAATCGTACGCATAATATACAATATTTCTAAAGTTCTGGCCCAAAAGTTACAAATACACAACTGCAACATGACATGAAACTGCCAAGCAACGTGTGTGTGTGAGAAGAGCGAAAGTAATTAGAACGAAAACGAAGCAAACGCAAATGAAATGTACGAAAATAAAGCAAAACCTAATGGCAATAGCAGCGAGAAGTGTTGCGCGTGAAGAAGCAGCAGCGCATAGGTAGAGCGAATAAAGCGAATAAAAAAAGAAGAGAAAGAAACTCTATTAATTGAAGCAAAACCGAGCGAAAAGTGACATTCATTAAGAAAAACTGCAAAAAATAGACGAAAATCGGTGTTAAAGTGCCACTAACATACATATGAAAATCTTGTACAATATCTGTTGTACAAACAGCGATTCTTTTTTTTACTACTATACAACGAATAAAAAGTATATACGGAAGCAAGGTGTATAGCGAAAGACGAAACGAAACGAAAAAAGACAGCGGGTCGCGCTCTCTATATATGTGTATGTGTGTGCGAGAATGTGTGTGTGTGTGTGTGTGTATGTGTTTGCTTGAATGTGTTAGAGCGTGTGTGTAGCCGTGTGCGTGAGGCGGCGGCGGCGGCAGCAGCGGCCGCAACAGCAGTAGCTGAAAGAAAGCAGTGAAGAAATATGTATGTGAAAAAGAAAAGAAAGAAATGATAGCAGCGCAAAAACGAAAGAAAAGTTATACATCCTATACATGCACAGACGTACTATGCATGTACATATATCGTACATAAATAATAAGCAATTCTAGCAACGAATTTTTCTCTTCTCTTCTATTTATTTGATTTTTTTTGTTTTTGTGGTCAGTGAGCAGCGAGTTGAATAAAACAATCAAAGTAGTACACACACACACACACACACACACACACACACACACACACACACATACATACATACATACATACATACATACACACATGACACATACATTCTTACTAATGCAAAAGAAAAAATTGCGTTACACAAGCAACCCCTTTACCGTTGCGCCGTCTCATCCTTGCTTCTCTCTTTGAGAACTAACAAGTGCCTTAATCAGCGTACGTGCGTGAGTGTGAGACAGTGTTCGTGAGCGTGCGGTATTATGCGTTTGTGCCATTTAATATACTACCATATACATATATATTATATGCAATAACAAATTTATTATTGAGCAGTCATATTTTTTTTTTCTTTTTGTTGAGTGTTTTTTCTTTACGTAGACGAAAAGAGAATTATTAAGTCAAAATTAACCAAACATTGACTATGTGTGGCCCACTGTGCGCAGCGGCGGCAAGTGTTATGCCGATAGAATGAATTGTGAAACACACGAAAATGAGCCACACACACACTCACACTTACACATTTATTTATTTTTTTATTGACATGCATTCGGACTGCACATGAAGCAAAGTAGAATTATGAATTGAGGGAATAACGTGAATCAATTGTGATACGTTATTTATCTTGTTTACTGCCAGAACTAAACATTTTGGTGTATATAAACACCGGTGACATTACGCTAATTAGCTCGTTTCTGTTTTTTAATTAATTTTTCTGTATACTGTAGTGTGTATTTGTATAAAGATGTGACTTGGCCAATCTGAATTTTTGGGCAAAGTTCAAGGTTATTCAATGCTCGCGTGCTTGTGACCCACTGTGCAGCATGCGGCGAATACGCTGGGTCGGTCAAAGGGATTTCAATTAAATGAAACGACTTCGGAGCGAATTTATTGCTGTCCGTCAGTCAGTGCAGTCATTGTGTTGCAAAGTGCAGTTAGCTAGCGAGATGCACACACAAGCACAGTTACAGCTAAGCACATGCACATGCATGCACGCGGGCAATGTAATGTAGAGTTGTCAGCTTACTGTGCACGTGTGCACGAGAGCATGAGCTAAATCAATTGCGAGTGGGAGAGTGCGAGTGCGAGTGCGAGAGAGAGTGTAGTGAGTGGCCCGCTGCTTGACAACGGCGTTGTTCTGAAAACATTTTCTTCTGCTTTTTTTTTACCATTTGCAATTTTTCGTCCAGCTACAGCTGTTTCCATGCACGTTCGTCGTTCAATATGCCTGTATATGTGTGCGTGCTTGTGTGTTTGCAATATGAGTAGGTTGGCAACACTTTTACGCCTGCGTTGTCCTTCGCCTGCGCGTGACATTCCGATACTTTGTACACATTTGCACGCCGCAAACTTTTATCGATTATTCAACGGAACAGCCTGCTTTGGATCCTCTGTTTGTACCCTATATACATATGTGTGCGTATGTTTGTAAGTAGAATTTTTGTTCGGCATTTTCATAGTTTCCTTCAAATCGATTGGAGCGCCACGACGACGTGGAGCGTCAGTGTTGTAAAGCAGCACTAGTTGCGTACATTGCAGCACTGCCAATTGGTCACCCAGCCTAGGGATGTGGGCAGATGTGGGCTGCCTCTGCCTGGCTGCAGCAGCAACGGCAGCAGCCAACGCCGAATGTAAAATTCAAGCGCTCAGTCAACGCTGACGCCGCCGCCTTGACGCTGGCGTCCTGTGCTGCGCGTGCTTTTCGTGTTAATCATTCGGACGAACGTCGTCAGTCACAGCCCGCAGTGGAAGCTCTCGGAGTTGATATATATATATAGATATATTTTTTTTTTCCTTATCGATGTGAAAAGTGCTCGTGAAATTTAGCGCTTATTGTTGTGGTTGCTCGATTTGTGAGCCAGTTAGTCAGCCGCTGCTGCTGCTGTTGCTTACATAATTGGTGCATTTCATATGCGTATGCCCAGGTGTAAATGTATGGTGCCAAAATATTTGCGGTATTAGTCGAAGCGGCGCACAAGAGCTGCTGCTCAGTAAACTTTTCGTTCAATTGCTTTAACTTTGCGAGGTAAAAGCTAGGCTCCTTGGGATGGGACATCATAGAACCTTGTAAGCGAATGCATATCCCCATACAAGTTGAAAATTTAAATATGTAATAATCATTTGACTATCGATAGCTGTTAAATTGTAGCTTTCTTCTTAACATTCCCAATATTCTAATATTTACTTATTTTAAAGTTCTCAATTTTGGTCTGACTGTTTTGGAAGATTAGTAATTAGATAGTATTTAGTATATAATACTACAAACTCCATGAAAATGTATTTAAATCCAATTTAAAGCACGATTTAGCTATGATAATTTATATTTAAAGTTTCGATTACAATTTGAGGACTTCCTTCGATTTGCTTCGACCTGATAATTTATATATTTAATGTCCAACCTGTTAAAAAAAACTTTTGAGGCAGGTAATTCGACATTGTCGTTGCGTGATTCTCATATTCACTCGTTAAATATAATATTAAACGAGAAGAAAGCCAGTAAGAAAGCTCTAATCGGGCCTGCTCGACTACAAGATCTCCTCAATTCTTCGATAAGCTGATATTTTGATAATTGTTCGCTACTTTTCTGCTTACTAAAGAAACAACGCTTGCTTACACATAAGCACACTCACGCATAAGCAATTTTTCGAAAATAACTGTAATATGTGTAATCAAAATTGGCTAAAAATAAATGCGAGTCCATATGTATTTAAAATTAGGGCTTACCAAGCCCCTTCTACCTGTTACATACTTTTAACAAAACCATTATACCCTTTCCAAGTTGCAATGGATTTAATCTATAACAAATATATTTTGTTTTTCATTATACGTAGGCCCAACGACAAATGTTACCTAGATATAGAATTCTCTCTCTCTTTGTTTTGCACTCTCCCTCTCTTTGAAACAGCGATCAGCTGTTCGCAATCGCACGAAATATTAAGTCGCCATTTAAATTGTGCGTTCCCTCGCTTATCGGGAGCTATTTGGTGTTTGATATCTACTGATAGAAACCGCAAAGCTTCTTGTTGCCCCCTGTCCAACCAAGGAAAAACAACAAAACATAGGGTTCAAAATTCGACACACTTGATACTTGTCAGTTAGCGCCAAGGCTATGATATGTGGAATTTTTTTTAACTGTTTCACAAATATACGATAGATTTCTATTCAGTTTTCCCATTTATTCGCATATCTTTTACTGTAGAGAATGTATTCTCTGACAAGTAAAACGCCCTTCAATTCAATTAAATTCAAAGAAAAGGTAAAAATGGCCATTAATTTGTAGTGTTTGTGATATATCATATTATTAAATTTACCATTTTCCAACACTATGGATGTAATATATATGTTTACTTGCTTTGTTGTAAAAGTGAAATATATAGAGATGCAATCTAAGAAGTTTGACCCACTTTTCAACACTGTTAGAGTAAATACTCATCACCTACTAAACGCCATGCGAGCGTGTAAGTGTTGTAAAAAGTTTTCTCTTAATCCCTGATGGTGGCAGCATTACTACTACTGACAAATGTATTGTAGTCATAATTCATAGCTTACTTTTCGGCGCTGGGCAGAGGCTGCATCAGATTTTCCTTTGGGCGGCATGAAAATG